GGTCCACCTCAAGCCTTTCGCTATTGACTCCCTCTGCTGTTGTTGTGTCCTTGGCAAGACACTTAACCTCTGGGAACACCAGGTGCCACAGTAGGGCGGCTGCGGATGTAATGGGCCAAACTGCTGTTGTGTCCTTAAGCAAGACACTTCACCCCCATTGCCTAGAATGAGTCTGGTGTGTGAATGGTTAGTGGTAGTCGGAGGGGCTGATGGCACAGACTGGTTGCCTCGCTTCTGTCAGTGTGCTCCAGGGCAGTTGTGGCTACAGTAGTAGTTTATCACCACCGTGTTTGGAGTGAAAGAATAATGACACATGTGAAGCGTCCTTGAGTGTCCAAAAAAGCGATTATTATTATTTTCATTACTATGTTTTTTCTTTTGATTTGAAAGCCTCCTGTCTTGTTTGGTAAAGCATGTAGAATTGCTCAAATAGACAAATTTTGCTATATAGAAAAAACTGGCATTGGCTTTTTTTTAGGTTTCCAGGGCTGTCACAGATGCTTGTATGAGTGGTAGTGCTAGACCTAGACCCAGTATACGCAATTCTTTCAGTGAATGCGACCCATATATGAATCCATTTAAATAAACACACAAACCTTTCACAAGCTTTTCTCTAAACAAACAGCAGGTAAAGTACTTCTTCCTGTATCACATATTCTCTGACCTACTTTACATCATTAACGCGCCTATAATTGCGTTTGAATTCTTGTGAGACCTTGTGGGAATTTGTAAGAGAGAAAAGTAAACAATTCTCTAATCCCTTCTGTAATTTTCAAACACTCACTAATAACATCATTCGTCTCATTAAGACTCCAGATGTCGGAGCCCTGCAGGTCCAGTCGCCGTCACTCTCAAGTAGTGTGTGTCTGTGTGCGTTTGTGTGTGTGTGTGTGTGTGTGTAAAGTCCATAAAAGCGTGCTGCTGTACTTGCGGTTTGTCTCAGGGCGTTTGGGAGTGCTCCACTGGCCCACTTTCTGCTCTGATATGCCCGGAGACAACACTAGATGGAGATGCTGCTGTCTCCATCACTCTCCTGAACGACTGCTGATGTTGTCCAAGTGTCAGAGCTGGAAATCCAGGACGCAATCTTTAAGTGATGTATAGAGGCAAACTTTATTTAAACACCACTTTCTACAACTTTGACCTGAGGTTTGATTTATTTTTTGAAGATAATGTCTCAAAACTGGTGCAGCTTTGAAACCACACAAAAATAACACATATCTCATAAACTATGGTACTAATACTCTATGGTACTAACACACTATGGTACTAACACACTATGGTACTAATACACTATGGTACTAATACACTATGGTACTAACACACTATGGTAAGTAAGTAAGTAAGTAATGTTTATTTATATACCGCCTTTCACAGACCAGAGTCACAAAGCGGTTTACAATTGTTATTATTTTTGGGCATTTGTCCTCTCACTCCACACAGAGATGGGAGCGGGGTCACCGAACAGGAGTAAGTAAGTAAGTAAGTAAGTTTTTATTTATATACCGCCTTTTCACTGCAGATCTGAGTCTCAAAGCGGTTTACAATTGTTAATTTTGGGCATTTGTCTCTCACTCCACACAGAGATGGGAGCGGGGCCAGTACAGGAGGCGCATGCCAGAACTATTGGACATATTTTTAGTGGTAGGGGAAACCGGAGCACCCGGAGGAAACCTACGCAGACACGGGGAGAACATGCAAACTCCACTCAGAAAGGCCCTGGTCCGACCGGGATTCGAACCCAGGACCTTCTTGCTGAGAGGCGAGAGTGCTATCCACTCAGCCACCTACTGAGTGTGTGGTACTAATACACTATGGTACTAATACACTATGGTACTAACACACTATGGTACTAATACACTATGGTACTAACACACTATGGTACTAACACACTATGGTACTAATACACTATGGTACTAACACACTATGGTACTAACACACTATGGTACTAATACACTATGGTACTAATACACTATGGTACTAATACACTATGGTACTAACACACTATGGTACTAACACACTATGGTACTAATACACTATGGTACTAACACACTATGGTACTAATACACTATGGTACTAATACACTATGGTACTAATACACTATGGTACTAATACACTATGGTACTAATACACTATGGTACTAACACACTATGGTACTAATACACTATGGTACTAATACACTATGGTACTAATACACTATGGTACTAACACACTATGGTACTAACACACTATGGTACTAACACACTATGGTACTAATACACTATGGTACTAATACACTATACTAATACACTATGGTACTAATACACTATACTAATACACTATGGTACTAATACACTATTGTACTAATACACTATACTAATACACTATGGTACTAATACACTATGGTACTAATACACTATGGTACTAACACACTATGGTACTAACACACTATGGTACTAATACACTATGGTACTAATACACTATGGTACTAATACACTATACTAATACACTATGGTACTAATACACTATACTAATACACTATGGTACTAATACACTATTGTACTAATACACTATACTAATACACTATGGTACTAATACACTATGGTACTAACACACTATGGTACTAACACACTATGGTACTAATACACTATGGTACTAATACACTATACTAATACACTATGGTACTAATACACTATTGTACTAATAAACTATACTAATACACTATGGTACTAATACACTATGGTACTAATACACTATGGTACTAACACACTATGGTACTAATACACTATGGTACTAATACACTATGGTACTAATACACTATACTAATACACTATGGTACTAACACACTATGGTACTAATACACTATGGTACTAACACACTATGGTACTAATACACTATGGTACTAATACACTATGGTACTAATACACTATGGTACTAATACACTATACTAATACACTATGGTACTAATACACTATGGTACTAATACACTCTATACTAATACACTATGGTACTAATACTATGGTAGTATTGTGTGTCTGCTTCAATCAATCAACTTTTATTTGTAGAGCGCCTTTCGTACAGGTAACACAAGGCGCCTCACTACCCATATTACATCATGCATAAATCCAAGACATTAAAATCCACATAAACATAAAGAATACAATTAAAATCACAAATGGTATTAAAAACACACAATGAGATAACACACAAATTTAAAAACATAAAAAAATCACACAAGTAATAAAAAGATTAAAACATTAAAATCACACACGGGATTAAAATCACAAATAGCCATAGTGCACCTAAAAATAAAATAATTCAGTTGTATGCACAGCGAAACAGAAACGTTTTTAAACTACACTTAAAAATTGCCACAGAAGTCGCCTGTCTCACATTTTCAGGAAGACTGTTCCAAATCCTAGCCGCATAAATCTGAAAAGCAGCCTCCCCATGTTTTGTTCTTATTCTGGGCACCAGCAGGAGGCCCGTGCTCCTCAGAGTCCGGCCTGGTTCGTATGGGACCAACATGTCGCCTATGTACCTTTGTGCGAGGCCATGGAGAGACTTGAACACAATCAGCGCTACTTTAAAGTCTCTTCTCTGAGCCACAGGAAGCCAGTGCAGAGACCTGAGAACTGGACTAATGTGGTCATACTTCCTGGTTCTAGTCAGGACTCGAGCTCCTGCTTCATCCAAACCCTTTTCAAAGTTGCTTTGTTGTGAAGATATAGGAAATTCTGTTAGGTTTGAAATAAATCTAATCAACTAATGTAGCTCTGAAAACTATTTGGTTCCATCAGTTTTCATAAACGACATTTATTTATTTTATTTATTTATTTAAGGATAGCCCCAATGAGATAAACTATCTCTTTTTCAAGGGGGTCCACATGTATTTTCAGTCCCTGCTACATCAAAAAGGACCCTCGCTCAGCCTGTCAGCTCTCAGTACGATTAATATAAAATGTGTTCTAATAAGACTGCATTTTGTGATCTGATTATCTCGCAAAGTGTTACCAAAACTATTCTTTCTGTTGGGACAAACAACATATATGTATGCAGGAAACTTCATATTTCAATGTATAATCTCAACATGCAGAATCTGAAAATCTAGTTAACATGATTGTGTTCTGGGATGGAACGAGAATCAAACAATGTTCCATGATTTGTATAATATTGCATTAGGGTTGGCTGATATGTAAAACTACAAGTAAACAGTGGTGTTTGTCTTTCAAATGAAGTTATTTCCTCTGATCTAGATGGGCCTTGTGTACTGTGTTACAGTTACCAACAGGTGGCAGCAAGAAGTCCATCCCTGCAGCTTCATGACTGCCTACGGCCACAGATACATGATAGAGATGAGCTTGATTAAAGTGTGTTGTAATTACGTGCAGCAATTAGGAAAACAGGTATTTGCATAATGTATAAGACCTACTTCTGAAAATATAGCTGTCGTCGTTTGGATCCCAGCGAGGCCCAGTGGATTGCGCATGCACCTGTCACACTTTCACTTCTCCATTGCTGTTGGATCTGAATCTAATACTGCCTTTGCCTGTTTGCAAACCTAATCTTTAAAGAATGGAACACGTTTTATTCAAATAAGAAGACTTGTAAAACTTGTTGGCACGTGGGGAGTATGAGTTTGTGCCTAAACTGTGCCAGATTGCAGGCCCTTCCCTATAGTGGGCGTGCGCAGCAGTCCGCGTCCCTCTCTAAATATAACTCCCCTTAAAACACAGGGAAACAATCCATATCCAATCAGAGACTGTCTCCAAACTTGTCCGTGAAGATTTTTTTTGATCCACCATCGCGCGCTGTCCATTCTGAGAGCTGGGGTGGTGCGTAAAGAGGAGCGCGCAGCTGGAGGCGCATTGTCTCTATGCAAACTGCCCGACATGGCCTTTGTGTGTGTTTGGGCATATATGGAGGCAGCGGCGGCCCGGAGGCTACAGCCCGTGTGAAGCCTCAGGGACAGACGCCCTCACTCGTGTTATCCAGACTTTCTCTCTCTGTCGCTCTCCGCTATGAGCTGCCTGGATGTGATGTACCACCAAAGCTATGGAGCGCACTATCTCCCGGCCGCTGCCTACAAAGCCACGTACTACAACCACCAGCAGCAACAGGTGAGGCCCACAAACTTTTATTACCAAGTTAATACACCTGGGGATTCAGACATTTTAGCGTTTTGACGTTTGATTCAAGATGGAACACGTCAAAAAGAGCTATTGAAATGCGTTCCTTTTTATTATCATATTTTAGACGAAGAGCAGACTTCATCAATTAGCATTCAAAACGTATAATTCCCTACAGGGTTTATTAGAGTTATAATAGAGAATATATCTTTATGGAGCTATATCATACAGCCACATTATGTCTTCACTTCAAAGCATAAAGAATGAAGCTAATAGAATAAACCTAATAGAGACCCAAACTGTCTTTCCTTATCCTTCATATTAATCATTAGTCAGAGAATTTTCCAGTATTGGCTGACTTTGGTATTTGAATTCACACCCACGATCACTTCACAATGTTTAGATTCCAATCTGAAGCCTTGTATTGGCCTCAGGTCAGGCGTAATGACACTGAACTATTAATCCTGCAGTCAAACGGTGACGTAATGACAACCAGGCTGTCACCCAGGAATGTGCAGAGAGAGCTCGACTAGGGATAGGAATGTGGCTTGTTGGGAAAACTAATGCATATTCATTTAGGATAACTGATGAAGTGAAGATGGAGGGAAAAGTTGTGGATTCTTTGCCTTCCATTGTATATTATAAGAGAGAGTCATCAATATAGTCCCATAATGACACCGACAGCTTCCACATTGCAATCAGATTCTATCTTTATGACTTATAACATCTCAAAACAATACGCCACAAAGCCTCACATAGATATAGCCAATCACACTTAAATTTGGTGTTTGATAATATACTAAAAAGTGTGTTGTGATCTTTGCAGAGGAAGCTAAGTGTCTACAACAAGATGCAGGAGTGCATGGATCAGCAGACATTTGGATCGAGAGCAATGCTGCCTCACAACCTCCACCGCCAGGGCCCTAGTCACCGATCTCCCTCTGACGGGGATCTGAAGGACAGTAACCAGCCAGCGGAGGCCGAGTACCTGAGCGCCCGTTGCGTTTTGTTCACTTATTTCAAGGGTGAAATTGGGGACGTTGTGGATGAGCACTTCTCCAGAGCCCTGAGCCAGGCCAGCAGCTTCAGCAGCGAGAGCAAGCCCATCCGAGTGACACAGCCAGCTCCATCCACCTCTTCAGCAGCCTGGAAAGGTCTGCATCCAGATTCAATTTCTGTTTTAAAATGTTTTTCTGGAACACCAACTAAACTGAAACATATTTTTTATAGAATACATCTATGCTATGTTGCTACTTTGTTTGGTGATAGTAATGGCTTTTGTATTTCTATTTCTAGTCTGCATGACTGGATTAATGAATTGGCTTCTTAAAACTGCATTTTCATCCCAGTAAAATTTCAATTGACATTAAATAAAAAATAAATAAAAAATTTCTCAGATACAGCCTCAGTGACTAAAACACAGCAAAAGGACAAAGAGTAAACGTAATAGTAGCCATGTCACTTTAGGAAGTTATTGGGAACATTAGAGATTGAATACTGATTACATTATTATCTGAAAACCGTTGCATGATGGGACATGAACCAGAAAGTTATGAAAAGCACATTCTCTGCACTAACTAAAAACTAATCTCTCTTATGAATCCAGATGGTTCTTCTGCTCTGGAGTCCCCAAGCCACTCCAGTTGGGCCACCTCCTGCTCCTCCCAATCCAGTGTCCCGGTGCACCCAGACTTCTCCCCCAGCCCTGTCTCCTTCCCCCCAGAAAGCACCCTCTGGACTGGGCACGTCTTCTCTCAGAACAACCTGCCTCCTCCAGCAGCAGCAGCAGCAGCAGCAGCAGCCACCTCCCTGTCTGACTCCTGGTGCTACAGTCTCAACCCCCAAACCAGCCCATCCTATCCCAGCGTCCACGATGTCTACCACAGTCATTCACACAGCCATAACTTACACCCTCGCCACGCCCACCCCATGCTCCACTCCTACACCGCTCACAGCCCGACGCTAGACCCCAGGTTTAGCCCTCTGTTGCTGAGGAATCAGAGCCAGCCTTCAGCGAGTTCAAGTCCACTCAGCAGCGACGGTGTGAAAACCGAACTGGACGCTAGCAGCCCGACCCCGCCGATTTCCTGGGCTCCCACCAGCATCCCCGGGTCGTTGGAGATGTACGATTCAAATGCATATGCGAGAATGCCACAGCTATCGACAACTGCACGTCTACTCCCTTAAACCCAAACAAAAAGACGTTTTGTGATTTTGCAGCTCAAACCAAAGCTAAAAATTGGCTTTAAAAAGACTATTTCATGAGTGATGCCAAAGGGACCTACGATAAAGCTTTACCGCTGCAACACCAGCACTGTATGTAGTAAATAGTACGCTTACTGTAGACTCAAAAGTATTGCACTGTCCACGTGATTTCTTACGGAGAAAAAAACTCAGGCTTGTTGATTTGAACTGTTGACTGCCAAGAAAGCTACTAACTTTTACAACCAAAACTATATTTAATGCATTGTGTGAAGAAGTTCTGTTTTCAAGAGCCTTTTGTCATTTGTTTCTATCTTATTGTAAATGTGTAAGTGCTAAACGACGTTGCTGGAGTATATTTGTTGAAATTACAACTGTTTCTTTTTTTTTTCCCCCATTTTTGTATTTGAAGAATTTGTAAATATGGTTTCAGTATGTCCAAATAATAAATTGTTGAGCAAAGTTGGTTAAAGGTTGAATGATTTAGCTCCCAAAGAATGTGTGGAGTAAAACTAACTTCTAAGTAAATTCCTTGCTATTTTTAAAAGCTAATTCATTGAGATTTGAGCTGTGGAGGAGGACAGTGTTGTGTAACTTATCATGCATAACAAAGGGATTACATAATTGCATACGCTGCCAATATATTCTCGTGTATTATCACTCAGCTGGCTTTATTAGTTCGGGAAAACTCATGTCCAGCATTTTTGTCATTCCTTTGAGCTTAAGTTTTAAACAGGCCTGTATTCTCTTCTCAGATTATCAGGCTTGATGGGAGACAATGAAAACACCCAGTAAAAAGACATATTGGGAATGTATAGGCCTGTAGGTTAAACACATGATTGCTTTTTTATACCAAAGCTCAGGATAATACCAATAATGAAACTGCTTCACTTAGTGTTAGAAAGTAATACAAATATACAGTTGGGCTTGAACGTTTCCACACTCAGGCTTAAATGTCGGCACTATTTCTGAGAATATGAATGATAATTATGGATTAATAAGGTTATTAAACATTTTCACTCATGTTTTCTCTTTTCAAACTATGACAAAAACTAAACTCAAATGACCCTGATTATGAGTTACCAGCCCCCAGTTCTATTCAAATGGGTTTCCCAGTGCTGTCTTCTCTGATGGAAAAGCATCCAACTATTTTAGGCTAGAGGAAAATTCCCTGGCTGCATTGCATGAACTACACATTTGAGCTCGCCCCAAATAACTACTACACACAAGTACAATGATGTGTGGGGGGAAAGTTTGTGTTATCATTTACAATCTCATTTGAGAGATTCAAAATCTCTCAAAATTCAGCCAAAACAAAGACATGTATGGCTGTGTGTGAACCTTTAAGCACAACTCTCCAGTTAAAATAAAATTGAAGTGTCCTGTTGGATGGTTCTATTCTACATTATGTCATGTTGAATTAAAAGGGCAGCAGTGGTACCAGGGGGAAGTGGACTACATTCCTCAGACAGTTATTGTAAGATACCGTGACATGTCCCCACGTAAACATCCACATACACGACACATGGTGCAGACGCAGACCCACTCTGAAGAATGCACTTCCTGTCTGGACAGGAAGGTAGCCCCAAGTCCCAAAACCTGTTCTTAGACAGAAAAGATGCTCCAAGCCACAAAGCTAGTCTACAGGAGTCAACAAGATACTTTCACTCTTCAGCATTTCAACCTGGCTGTTCTCAAAAGTATGCCTGAAATCCACTCACATTACTAAATAACCTTTAAAGACCTAATAATGCCTAATGTTACTAAATAACCTTTAAAGACCTAATAATGTGTGTCCAAAACAGCATCAAAACACTCCCAATGTAAGTACTTTTCTACAGTACTGTTGTTTACGTCAGTCATGCATAGTTTTCTAACCTAATCCTTGTTCAATTGTGAGGTTTTGTATCAAATATTTACTGAAATACAATGATTAAGGCAAAACTTATTTTGTGTGATTCATCCATTTACAATCCTCATTGAAAGAAACGGTGCTCAGAATCTTGCCAAGACTTGCCCACTGCCCTGATTGTGGCAGTGCCAGACCGGTCTTTGGGGTCTAGTGGGGGCTTTGCATCATAAACAGTCTTTCTGTGGACCACTTTAGACCTGCTTTCACATCAGGCTCAGCCCTGTCGCTTCACAGTTCTATAGGGAGTCAGCAAACCCCATTATTTTCAAGTATGTTAGAATATTATAAAAGAAATTTGACCAAAATTATTAATTTTTGACCATTCATTTTACCCATTTGTTTGAATTGTCCCTGCTCTTAAAACAAATGTATATTGTTATCCATAGAAAGAACATAACTCAAGTGTTCACTCAGTAGATGTATTTATTGAGTCCTTTGTCGTATTTAATAGAATTCATTTTAATTGCAAAACATTGATAATCATTGACCCTCTCATTGTTCACCGTGTTAGGGGCATAAGTAACACATTTTCCCACTATCGCACATCTCTTTTGGCCCAATTCCTAAGTGGAAATTATTTGTGTCTCTCCTGACATAGCCCACAGCTGGTGAGGCCTGTCAGACCCACTGTGTGTGCATGTGTGTGTGTGTGTGTGTGTGTATGCGTGTGCGTGTGTGTGTGTTTGTATCATTGTGTGTCCATGTGTGTGCGAGTGGTTGTGAGTGTCTGTGTGCGTTTGCATGCTTGTGTGTGTGTGTGTGTGTGCGTGTCTATGTGTCTGTGTCTGTGTGTGTGTGTGTCTGTGTGTGTGTCTGTGTCTGTGTGTGTGTGTGTGTGTGTGTCTGTGTGGGTGTGTCTATGCCTGTGTCTGTGTGGCTGTGGGTGTGTCTGTGTGCGTTTGCATGCTTGTGTGTGTGTGTGTGTGTGTCTGTCTGTGTGTGTCTATGTCTGTGTGTGTGTGTGTGTGTGTGTGTGTGTGTGTGTGTGTGTGTCTGTGTCTGTGTGTGTGTGTGTGTCTGTGTGGGTGTGTCTGTGCCTGTGTCTGTGTGTCTCTGTGTGTGTGTCTGTGTCTGTCTGTGTCTGTGTCTGCGTCTGTGTCTGTGTTTGTGTGTGTGTATCTCTCTCTGTGTGTGTGTGTGTGTGTGTGTGTGTGTGTCTGTGTCTGTGTGTATCTCGGTGTGTGTCTCTCTGTCTGTGTGTCTCTGTGCGTGTGTCTGTCTGTGTCTGTGTCTGTGTGTGTGCCTGTCTGTGTGTCTCTGTGTGTGTCTCTGTGTGTGTGCATATCTGTGTGTGTGTGTGTGTGTGTGTGTGTGTGTGTGTATCTCAGTGTGTGTGTGCTTGCAGCAGGTGGTTTGATCAACAATAACAGCCCACTAACATTCCTTGCTTCTCTCCCTCATCTCCACATTTCCATCTGGGCCACACGCAGCTGTGGTCCGGTCCACAATACCAACATGAGGAGCTGCTGACCCATTTAAATCCTCATTTGAGAAAGAAAAAAACATGGACATGAACCACATCAAGGTTTTTGTGAAATATTAAGAAGCAGTGAAGTCCAACATATAGTCCACAATGCATTGCACATCAGCGGCATCTATGTAACAAACCAATGCTATAATGTAAAGAACACAATGAATGTAATCATCATCTTTGAGAACACAGGCAAGGCAAGTTTATCTGTATAGCACAATTCATAAACAGCTCATTAAAAAGATAAATATAAAATCCTTCATTTGTCTGCACAGCCATAAAGAACTGTTTTAACCTGGCGTCTCACATCTTCAAGAAGATTGTTCCAGATTTCAGCAGCAGGAATCTGAAATGCTGCCTCCCCATGTTTAGTCCTGACTCTGGGACCAGCAGGAGGTCAGTCCCTGTGCTCCTCAGTGTCCCAGCAGGAGGCCAGTCCCTGTGCTCCTAAGAGTCCCAGCAGTAGGTCAGTCTCTGTGCTCCTCAGAGTCCCAGCAGTAGGCCAGTCCCTGTGCTCCTCAAAGTCCCAGCAGGAGTCCAGTCCCTGTGCTCCTCAGAGTCCGAGCAGTAGGCCAGTCCCCGTGCTCCTCAAAGTCCCAGCAGGAGGCCAGTCCCTGTGCTCCTCAGAGTCCGAGTTGGTTCGTATGGGACTAACATGGCCATGGAGAGACTATGCTTCTTACAGGAAACCTACTCCATGAATCTTGGCTTGAGGCAGAAACCAAGAACACTTTCTCTGATCCAAAGGTACATTTTATTCACTTCATAATCAATCACAATCCATTTGGGATTTCCGTTTGTCAACAGTGAAAATGGGGGAAAGGAAGTAATTTGCACTAATAAGCCCGGCTGTGTGTTAATGAGCGCAGTCCTCCTTCTAGTTTCATTGCTTCAATATGTTTTGAAAAAATAATGTCATTGTACGAGAGAGTAACATACGGCTTACTTCTGATTTGTACGAGAGTGTAGAACCAGAACAAGTGGATTAGATTAAATATAATCAAAGTGTGCTCTTAGCTTGTTCGTTTCCACAGTGCAATAGGGTTGTCTTTAAATAAGCACATCGATTAATAAAGCTGAACTCAAACTTAATCCGTTTCTGCAGTTCAGGTTATGCATTTTCTTACTGCAGTGATTACTTCTTTTGTGTCCAACATGGGTTTACTGTTTGGACACAGACTTCATTAATTTGAAGAAGTTCTTGTCCATTTCCTCTGAGTCAACATGAGGCACTGACCCTGCTGCTCCCGATGGACCTCTTTGTTACTGGGACTCAGTGCTGGGAATCATTGGTTTCTATTCAAAAGCAAAAGCACTTCATTTACCGACAATTCACCAAGATGTGTATGTCCAAGATAAAGATTGGACAATTGTTATGGCTAATACTAAATATAGGCCTTTGAAACTGAAATAATTCAATAAATAGGTAACAAAGAATTAAAACACTGTTGTAATCAAAATACTCAGGCTCTGTACCAGTATGCTGATGAAAAAGCAAACATGGTTCTTAATGAAGTCAATAATGACACAGTTTGTAGAAGTGAAGTGAGTGTTGTTTGGAGGAGCAGCAGTGAGAGGGATGTTGAGCTGATCAGTCATAACACACGACCACAAATTCCTCAGTAATTGAACAGATGATTAGTCCAACAACACCAGCTGCGCCAAAACAGAACTCAGACTGGGACAAAAATGGCGCACTAAATCTATGTATTATGTTTCCTTTCATGTTCGGTAAGTACTTTGAATTGCTTCTTGTATAAACTGTCTGTCTGTACACCCATCCATCCATTTTCTTCTGCTTTATCTTATGCAGCACTTGCTCATCCACCGGATTCCCAAAGCGTTCCCAAGGCGTTCCCAAGGCGTTCCCAAGGCGTTCCCAAGGCGTTCCCAAGGCGTTCCCAAGGCGTTCCCAAGGCGTTCCCGAGGCGTTCCCGAGGCGTTCCCAAGGCGTTCCCGAGGCGTTCCCGAGGCGTTCCCTAAGCGTTCCCGAGGCGTTCCCGAGGCGTTCCCGAGGCGTTCCCGAGGCGTTCCCGAGGCGTTCCCGAGGCGTTCCCAAGGCGTTCCCAAGGCGTTCCCAAGGCCAGCTGAGAGTCCTTCAGTGTGTCCTGGTCCTCTCCAGGGTCTCCTCTCAGTGAGACATGCCAGGGTCCTCCCTGGCATCCAGGAGGCACATGAAACGTATAACAGAGCTGAACTGGCTTCTCTTAAGATGATGCAGCTGCAGTTCTACTCGATCTTCTCCAGCGTGACCGAGCTCCTCACCCATTCTCCAAGTGAGCACGCAGCCACTCTGTGGAGGAAAGTCATTATGACTTCCGCTTGTTTCTGTGATTTAGTGTTTCAGAGGAGGGAATGTAGATTGAACGGTAAATTGAAGGCTTAGCCTCAACTCTCACAGTCTCAACAGTCTGATACAGTGATTGTTTCATGCACTGCACCGATCCGTCTGTCATTCTCATGCTCCTTCCTTTTCTCACTTGTGAACAAGACTCTGAGATACTTGAACTCTGCCTCTTGAGCAACGACCTTTCCACCCTTGATAAAGTTTCAGGGTTGTGACTGGCGCTGATCCAGAGCAGGAAAAATGTCCTGAACCAAGCAGACCCATGCGTAAAACACTGTAGGAGAGGCCCAGCCACCACCAGAGTGATGAAGCATCATTGATATCATTAATCCATCTAATTTATTACACAGGAGATAAATTAAAGGATTGAAGTGGCCGCAAAGCCGTCGCTCAGGCGATAGTTTTACAATCCTTTGGCCTTTCATACATTTTTCTCTTTCAGACCTGACTAGCTTCAGTCCCACAGCTCACTGAGGTAATTAAGAGCTAATTTGCCGTTCTAGTGCGAGTGTGAGGAAGAGTATTAGCGGCATTAGCGAACATCTCAGATTTCTGCACGCTTTGTGTCAACAGGGCAGCTTAATGATGCATGCTGGGAGCGCCACACCGCACTCGATCTGCTGATGGTGCACGAATCAGCCAAAATCCCCACTGTTTCAAAATACCTCACAGAACACCCAAGTTGACCCACATTAGTGCGAGTCTCCTCCTATCACTTCATGTGTCAGGGAAAGGCTTTATATTCTGGCATCTGCAACCTTGGACCAAAGCTAATGACGCCAAGCAGACAATGAACAAGTCGTGTAATGAGGATTAAAACAAGCAGAGAAATTGAAAAGTTAATTGATTGAAGTCAAATTGGATTAGCTCATTACTGTTTCAATTTGTCCCGTTTAATGAAGCTATAATGAAACAAACACTAAAGTCACAACAGTAGAAGGCAAACTGCATCAGGCCGAGACAGCGCAGCCTCATAACCTGTTCAGAGTCATCTATTTTGTTCCAGTTTTTTTACTTTTATAGGGGAAACTTATGCTTTTAGTTAGATGTATGAAATATCTGTCATAACTGTCATGGTGTACTATTCTTTTGTTAACCTTTAAAGGTACTCTGTGTAATTTTTACAGTTGCTGCAAATGAAAAAACATGTATACCAATAACAAATGTGACCTTTTTAAGTACTCACCTCCACCATGTTTTTGAATTGTTGTCAAAGGCTTAGAATTTGACTTATAAATGTCCATGAGGCTGGAGGACTCTACATGTACATGTCAATGCGCCATCTTGAAACACGGTGGTTGATAAGGGACAAAAAGGAGTTTGAGTGGGAGTTGGGGACCGCTGTCAAAGACTTCATTTTGTCCTGAGAAGCCACCGTAGAACCGTTAATTACAATATGTGATGTCAGCGCTATATGGGAGTAAAAACTTTAACACCTTTAACATGTTTGCACACCAGCTGATTTTCTATCCTCGCCAAATGTGACACGTACATTTCTCCAGGTCAGTAAAGTCTATTATATCTCGTTCATATATAATCTTAATTATACATACATATCTGAACTCCCAACATTTGTTAAGCGCTTTGGGCGACCTTGGTCTGTAAAATGCGCTATACAGATAAAGATAATTTACTTACTCATGGGATGTTGAATAGTGTGTTAAATATATAAATGTGATGAATCCAAATAAGAATTGCCTGGATCATAACATGTCTTTGTTGAAGGGAAAGCCACCCACTTGCTCACATGGGAACGTCTAGTATGGACTTTAATCTCAGACAAACAGGTGAAATCAAATCAAGCAGAGAGGAAATTAAAAGAATTCATTGTTTTCTCAATTACAAGAGGCATCACGGACCTTCCAGACAGACTTCTACCATCTTATTTGTGTTTAGTTGGTCTTTAAGTTGGATCTGCAGACGCTGAAATGAAATCAACAACTGACATTATTTAGATTGGGCAAACATGGTTCATCACCACAGGATGTTCAATTGGGACTGTTGGCCATCAATGTATGTGTGTTTTATTTCAAGGTAGTGCTTATGTCCACACGCAGACTGTACTTGGCCATGATGAGTGAATGAGGTGAGCAGGCTAAAAGCAAACTCTTAAATCACAATTAAAATACACAGATCTACCTTTGAAAATGATCAACATTTAGAACTGTTTACACATTCAGCAAGGCTTCAGTCGTTATAGAAAGCAGCCACATTCCTGACCTGCCCACACACACACACACAACCACACACACTAACGCACACACAGACACACACACACACACACGCATACACACAAACACACACAGACACACACACAGTATATATTGAAAAGCCATGCAGAGAGTTGCTCCTCTGAAAGCCAGTCAATGTTAAATAGTAAATCAGGTGCACTGCTGGATGTATCATGAGCATAATGGCGTTCCAACACTGGGGTGTGTCGCTGAAGCTAGATACAACTCACTTTTGATCCATAAATTAGACAAATATATTGTGGCATGGGTAAGAATACTTATTGTGAATGTTGCTCTTGTTGAAAGACTCATTTTATTCTAAAACGTACATGTGTATGTTGATAAAAAAAATGGTATGAGTTGGGATCATTGTGCTTCTCGATGCCATCACGCTGCTGCCATTGGCTCCTTCCACATTTATGTAAATGTGATGCATATACAATAAGTTATTCTTCTGTTTACAATAATGCACATTATTTTGGATGTACGTGTATATCCTATTGTATATACTATTGTTGTTAAAATATTGTTACCACCACAATGCATTGAGGTGTCCAAACCGGTCCAGAAAGGGCCGCTGTGGCCGCAGGTTTTCTATCAGACCCAGCAGGAGCAGGGCCGACTCCTCCCATTTCCTCAAATCTTCATGTTAGGACCATAGACTGTTAATATTAACGGACAGAGTCACGCCTATCTCCACCGTTCTAACTAATGGGCCAAAAATTGTGCTCTACTGGAGCAATCCAAAATGGCAGCGAGTGGTCCCGCCCACAAGAAAATTGTGAAAAAACGCATCTGCGCATGCGTCAGCCGGCGCAGCTCCATTCATTTGAACGAGAGACTTTAAAAATTCACAGCAAGTAAACTAGAGTGGACCAAAACACTCCCCTCAGCATTGACACACATGTGGAACGGAGCTTTGGGCCAAGAGCCAACTTTTGGTCCATCCTGTAAAGACGATTTCGAGAGGTCTGGCAATGCTATATGTTAGCATTGGCTAATTCTACTTCTGGGTCCACCCCCATCGGCCCGGAGTGGTATTGCAGCATGTCAGCGCATGTCATTTTGGCCACTTTTGAGCCGGGACCCGCCCACACTGGTTAAGACTGAACTCACTTGAGGAAATGGGCGGAGTCTGCACTGCTCCTGCTGGGTGCGATGGAAAACCCACAGCCACATCGGCCCTTTCTGGACCGGTTTGGACACCATTGAGGTTAATGTATGTATGTAATGTAAATTGAACTCAAAAGAAACAATTAATCAATCAAAAGATAAGAATGAATACATTCAATGATGATCATCCATTTGAAAGACTGATTTCCCAATTCTATATATAGCTTAGTGAAACAGTTACAGATAGTTACTCACTATTTCTCAGTATGTAAATATAGCAAATTATAGTTTAGCTACATGTGTTGATGTACACTTGGACGTGTTGATGGGATTGAGGATGCAGGAACAAACAACACAAGTATCAAATAGCAGGACCTCAGGCAAAGTGGGTCGCTCAAAAAACCCACAGCCAAATAATGGCGGCAGGGCAGGAGCAAACCATCACAACAGAAAGGGTCAAACTGAGGAAGATCACAAGCCCTCGCACTCTGTGAACATTTTTAGGTTGAGAGATATGAACACACCCAATCAGCTGCCACAAAACACAAGCTAATTATAGTCGATCACAGCTTGAACAATATCAAAGTCACTGCTCTGTTTTCTCTGCCCTCCTTCATTCATAAAGGCCTGTAGCAGCAGCAGCAGCAGCAGCAGCAGCAGCAGCAGTCTGGGGCAGTGCCAGTAACCACAGAACATAGCTGTCATTCCTGCGCTCGCCGAAAGCATTTAGAGTCCGGCACCTGTTTCCCCGGCTCATTCTGTACTGTAGACCGCCCCAACACACACGGCCCCTCCACTTTATACTGCGCTATTACAGGAATGTTATAGGGCTATTTTGGTATCAACATTATCTACAAGCCCCGGACACAAGCTGCAACAAAATGGGTCATGCTTAGATTTAAGTTGAATGTTTTCTGGTGCCTTGAAAGGAAAAAACAAGAAAAAGTTTAACAACATACCAATGACCGGTCTGTAATACATCTAGTGTGGTATTAAAGCAGAGCTACCTAAGTTTGAAAGCACAAGACACTATGTAAAAAATATCTAACAAATATTTGGATTGATTCTCTCTCTAGTTTTCACTTGTATTTAGTTTTGGCTTTTCTCAAATCTTTACATCAGATGTTTCATGCAGAAAAGTGAAAAGGAGAGGACCACCTTCATTCAGCCAATCAGCTCTCTTCACAAATAATAGATAGATTGATAGATGGATAGATAGCTTTATTACAGACTCGTAGTCCAGAATAAAACAAAAAAATAGACACAACACACACAAAAAACAGACAATATAAAACAATAAAAGTCCCCAAATCTCTTTAGAGGAGGCTATACCAGTGTTTCCACAGCGCAGAAGTAAAACCAACATCACTGTAAGCTCTGCTCGTCAGCACTAAAATCATCATATTCACACTAGTTTTCAGGCCACACAGAGAATTCAGGACAAAAAAAGTTCAGAAGCGCTGCTCCATCTGGGCCTTTTTAGCAGTTTAGTTTTCTGTTTTTAAGATATTTCCAGAGAGCTTAACGTCAGGAAACATGATGATAATGACCCTACATTTGGATTAAACAGGGAAAATGTTGCTACACCAGTTTTGGTTCTTAATTGTGTTGTAATGCATTCTTATGTGAAACTTCAAAGGCCAGTCTACAGGTTGTTTTGTGCTCACTTTGGCCAATACTCAATGTTTACGATAAAACTCCATGGTGTTGTATGTGTTTGATTTTCACAAATTAAGAGTAAATTGATTTGATTTAAAAGCTCATTGATGAATTGATTAAACCTCACAGTAGTATTTCCTCGACACTGCTCCACCTGCTCTGTGTCGCTCGGCCACCTGCCTGTCAATCACAGCCCTGGACACGTGACCCTACCTGCTGCTACTGTCCCATGCCGACCATAGTGCCCATGCCACACATACCGGAGCCACAAAGGGACATTCCCGGAGCATTCAGCACATCCTCTTTACTGCACAGGAGCTGTCACTGCCACTAGTGTCTGCCACAGGAAAAAAACAACTTACAAACTATTGTGTGAGTGGAGAGAAAGCACGTGGAGTGTGGTAAGAGCTGGAGAGGAGGAAAGTGGAACAACTGAGATGGATGGATATAAAAGAACTCAAACTCTTATTGTTTCAAAGTCAGTGTTGTTTCAAGTATTTGTTAGTTAAGTTCATTATTTTTCTATCTCAATACTTATTTTGATTTTAGATTAATCTCTCTCCCGCCTCTTCTGGGGGGAAAAAACAACACATGATCAACACTTTTGTCTCATTCAAAAAGTTGAAAGTTAATTTTGATACATTTTTATATCAAGCCATTAATTATACTGTTTTATTACATGACTTGGATCGTACGCGCGCTCTGATTGGCTGATTACCGGTCTGATATTTTCCCATCTCGGACCGTTACCATGACAATTGGTCCGAACAGTGCGTATCACATTTTATATCTTTCCTCGGACCGTTACCATACCATATCACACAAAACCAAGTCGGACATGAACATACTTCACAAATATCTCAAAAGCATTGGTAAAGACACAGACGAGAGTCATATAATAAAACATTTATTAACCTCGCTTGCTCGGTCTGTACAAAGAAATATCAGACCTTGGCCTTTTTGCACAGACCTCGCCACGGCTCGGTCTGTACATTAAGGCTGTGGTCTGATATTTCTCCATACAGACCTCGCGCTCGGTTAATAAGCCGTTAATATAATAAATAATGGATATTAAGGGCTAAGCAGTATCCCACACAAAAAATGTCCTTTTAATATTGTCAATTCAATAGCTGTGTACCATTTTAACCAGACTTACCCTCTGTTTAAAGGGGTCCATAACAATTTGGTTATGGCTCAATCATTGCTGTAGTACAGGGGTTCCCAACCTTTTGGAGCCGGGATCCACTGAGACCCACCGAGAAATAAATATTGTAATAATGGAAAACGTCAAAACAAGCAGAATTACTTTAACTTGTGTTATTTGATCTAATATCAAATATTGAAGCGGAAATTATTCTGGAAATCTTGCCCCAGCTGTGAACCACGCACAGGATCTACAGTACAGGCTTGTGCGTGACCTTAGTCTGCGAAATGATTATCAAAATAAGATAGCGATTATATTTATTAATCAACCCGACATGGTTAATAATAATCTGATAATCTGATGTATCGTTCCACCTCTGTAAGAATCGTCCCAGGCCTTAATGGCAGTCGTTAATAGAGACACCTTAAATCAGATTACCTACACTGCAGTCCCCTGTCCTCTGTGTGTGTGCGTGCATGTGTCCTCTGTGTGTGTGCGTGCATGTGCGTCAGAGCCAGTGTAATCTCAGGATAACATGGACTTATCCAGATCATCCTCAGCTCCCTGTGTCCTGACAGCTCCTCATCCATCATTCTTCACACAAACTCTGCCTAATTGTCAGCTAATTCCCCGCCGTCCTACTGTCCCCCTATTGTCCCATGACTTAGCCCCTGCTGGCTGCTCCTGGCCGGGCACCCCATGGCCTTACATCCCCTCCACAGGGCATCTTGTTTGGGCCGGAGCGCCTGTCCTGCAGCCCAAGGGGAAGTGGACTGGTGCTTCCTCTGCACTGGGGATGTCCCTGCTGAGAGCTGACAGGAGCCCGGCCCTAAAGGGGTAAATCTGTCATCTGCTGCACCTACCTAGGCCTTCCACACATAAACAAACAGGCATACGAAGACAGATAGGTGCGGAAAAGTAACTCCTGTGAGAAAGTAGTGTTGTCACGATGCTCCAATTCAAACTAGACTTTGATACATGAAAGTCTATTTATGAATAATCCTTTAGGACTATGAACTTTAATTTATTTTATGGGCCACAAAGGTATTCTGATATAGTTTAAAATGCATCAATACATTTCTGTTTGTCATTTAATTCTATTGCTCTAGAATCTGGCATCAATACTAGATTTTGTGTGAATCAATATCTGATATCTGCTCCATACTTTAAACAGTAACCCTACATTACCACAGGCGGCTGGATTTTACTTTCTTAAATTCATAATATGTAACCCAACTAAAAACATTTTATTAAAATTCTCACAAATAATTATTTAATTTTGCTTTATTTCAAGCAAAAACCTTCATGTGCTCAAGTTTTCTTGCCAAAGTCAACTCTTTTACTCTGTATTTACCAAGCGACAGGAGTCTTTGAGAAAATGGAGAAGCTGTGTGTGAAAGATTACATAAATAGATTTGTTTCAGCCAAAGTTTAATAATTCTCAATAGATGTGACGTACTTGAGCTTTTGCAAGAAATCGCTGAAAAAACACAAAGTAAGAAAAAACCTCTTTGCTCAGTTTTATGTAGTGTTCAATTCTCAGCACAGATTTTTACCAAATGTTCGTTCGAAAACACAGACTTTTGTTCTTGCAGTTGACAAAGTAGATTGTACATTTTATATTCTGAAATGTATTAACCAAATAATAACAAACAAACAGAGTGGATAATCAGCCTGAGGGGAAGGGGAGTGGATGTTCCTGCTGAGAGCCCAGTGCAATCTGACAGGAGCCCGGCCCTAAAGGGTGAAACCTGTCAGCTTCATACCCACCCACTCTGCTGACACACACACACACACACATATTAAGACAGAAAAGGTTCATTAAAATGCCAAATTATAATCCAAATTAATTGAGGAAATCATGATGAGTCCCATTTGAACGCCTGTGCCTGTGCGTGCAGATCTAACCATACTTTGTTGTACATTTACGTCCGTCATTTATGCCTATTTACATAACGTCCACAGTTGATCTTACTAGCAAAGCTCTAATTAGTTCAAGAATGAGTTAAACATTAAAAAAATATGCATTACATAACAGACTGTAATTTAATTGACTTTCTCTCACCGCCCCAGCTCTGTCGTGATGCGAAACACAAACAGACACACATTCCTGTTCTACTGTAGCACTTGTCCCGCCCCTGACAGTGATTGACAGGTATTTGCGGAACCACTCAGGACAGTCAGACATGGGGCATCTGGGCACCCGCCCTCCTGTCATGTCCACCTTCCCATGAGGCCTTTGTGGACGGGACAGCGGTGGCAGGAGAAGCTGAGAAGCCCGTCACAGCAACAGGAAGAAGCCCAGTCACACCTAACTGTCCTGGGACACCCGCACTACCGCTGTCGGACCCCTGGGAGAATGCCAGCTGACAGCAAGTTCCACAGAGAGAGGTGGAGGAGGAGAGAGGGGGGTCCGCACAGGTGATGCTCACTGAGACCTGCAAATGCCTTTCCCTCTGCAGAAGGTTATTGACTTTTATGGAATGCAGGAGTGAAAAACAGGATTCCAAACGGTGCTCAAGAAACAAAGACAACTAGACTCATGGTTTCTGCGACTAAAATCAATCATTCACATCCTTAAGAAAATGACATTGTTCTCTCACTTACTCTGCACGTACTGTATGCTAGTATCTGGGCTTATATAGAACTAAACATGAATTGTATTGTACTAAAATTAGGCTAAGGAGAAGTTCATTTGTTCATGTCATTAAACTTACAATGTGAAACTAAAATCTGTTATAGAGCACCTGTCCTGCAGCCCAAGCGCCTGCCAAGCCTTTACGTTGATGATTAGGCTTACAGTCCATGTTTTATTTGGGTCTTTCACACACTGTGTGCCAATGATCAACGTTATAACAAAAAAAGCCTTGGTAAATCCCACTTTGTATCATGAGTTTGTCATATTAGTTTCACGTTGACTTTTGAACAATAATCTAATTTTCAGAGTTTCACCTGTGGGTTGAAAGTTGCATGTTATCTGTGTTTTTTCTTGCCTGCACAAAAATAAAATTTGGCGCGGAATAATTTCATAGCACTTTTTATCCATTTCCATCTATATTGCTGTATGAGTGTCAGTAGGAGGAGGGGTGGGGGGCATGTGTGGAATGTATGCAATATAAAGGCCCTCTACTCTGCACCGCCACAATGGTGTCTTTGACGGGGGGAGAAGGGACGCCTTTGTTTGGTGACACCACACAGTGTTGTGAATGCCGGGCATAGCAGCCATTCCTGCGAGTGTGCCCTGGGCCAGGCTAACAGCGGCTTATCAGGGATTCCTCTCCATTCTGTCGGCCCACGCACGCGCCCCTCTCTGCTCTAGTGCTGCTGCTGCTGCTGCTGCTGTTACTGACACTGAGGAAATGCAAATGAAAGAGAGTGCAGTCTGTGTAAAGAGACCCTCGTAAGTGGCCACGAGACCGCTGCATTTTAAGAAGCAGGTCAAAGAGGGTGAACTACTGATTTCCATCAAACTTCTTGTTAATGTTTGAGTACTCCTTTAATAATGAACCCGTCCCAGGTCTGCGAAAAGTGAAGACTACTTTAACAGGTTTTGCAATTGTATATAAACATGTTTTATTCATGAGGGGAAAAATACTGTATCTATTGGATATTTTTTTCATTCTCTTCTCGTTAAATACAACGACCAGTGACAGTGATGCATTTCCTTAGTCATGAAAAACATTTCCGAGGTGACAAATGAACAAGCATAATGAATGAAGCACTTACAGTGAACTGCTTTTAACTGCAGTACCAATGTTCATAGAGGGCGGCACGGTGGCTGGGATAGCTCTCTAACTTCTCAGGAAGAAGGTCCTGGGTTCGTATGCCGGTGGGTAGGTTTCCTCCGGGTGCTCTGGTTTCCCCTAGAACATGTAGATCTGGCTCCATCTCTGTGTGGAGTGAGGGTTAGACAATAGTTGTAATGCTCTTTGTGACTGTGGTCTGTGATAGGCGCTATATGAATAAATATCACTTACAAAGAGATAATTGTGGATTTGTGGATAATTGATTTTACCATTATTTTCCATCCATCCATCCATCTTCTACCCTTTAATCCATTTCTGGGTCAGGGGGGTGGCAGTCAGAGATGCCACCCAAGTCTCATAGCACCAGCCCCTCACTGACCCTCTGCAGGTGGTGAGTCCACAGGAGGACGGCTGCTCTCTGAGTGTGAGCATAGCCTTGATCTTTCAGTGGGGGCTTTGGGCAAAGTGGGGTTAAGTGTCTTGCCCAAGGACACAACGACAGCAGTCATCCGTGGGAGTCGGTGGAGAAGGTGTAGAGGTGGGAATTGAACCCACAACCTTCAGGCCTTAAGGCCAATGCTCTACCAACTGAGCTACTGTCACCATTATTTTCCTGAAAACAATTCATAATTTTCAGGTTTGATAATAAATTCTCATACTGGCCTAACCTTGAACCATGGAGTACTGCATCTCTAATTGTGGGTCATCTCTAAATGCGTTTTCCTGAAATGTTGATGTTGATTGTATTGAGACCGTACAGAATCATGTAGGACTGTGTTGTAAACCTGATTTGACCGAGTGTGCGTGACATCACTTTGGTCAGGTGCTGCAGTCTTTGCTCTGTTGTTTTGCCAGATCGGATTTTACAACTGACTTTCTTAATAAAACTGTTTCATGTTTTAGTGTAACTTTACAGATGTGATTCCAAATAACCCAATACAAATATTCTGGTTTACATTTTGTGATATCTGGGCTTTTGAGGCTGTACAGTAGTTTTGTGTTTTGCTTACATAATAACAAGTCATAGACCTGTCCTTGATTTCACATTCCTTTTTCATTGTGTTAGAACATATTTGCGTTCATGTGACATCACAGAATTCTAAAGAGTCTATAATTGAACATTGTGGTGAAGGACATCTGAAAAATGTGTCCTGGTCACTATGGTAACCGTCAAAAGAGCTGATTCCTCAGATTTTCTGGGTTGACATGAAACAAAAAACGGTCACAAAGTTCTTATTTTTTGTTTATATTAACTACAAGCTTTTTATATTTGTATTTTTTCAAAAACATATTTCCGATGTATGCCAATAATAAGAACTTCCAGACAGGTTGGTTATTTTATCACTATGATATCAATACAATACAACTTATTCTTGTATAGCTCTAAATCACAACAGAAGTCATCTCAGAGACTTAACAAAACCACTGATATCACCAACACAGATCAGAGAATCAACATTTAAGACAAAAAAAGAACACATGTTGATAAATGTCATACATGTTTTAGAATGTTAAAGTGTCCTGGATCATCACCACATCCTTCTAGTTGGACATAACTGCCCAACAGACTCCTGCATCGGCAAGGAAAAACTCATAAGAAGAACCCAGTGGGAAAAAGTGAGAAACCTCGGGGGGACCCACATATTGAGAAAGGGATCCGCTCCTACACGGACGGACGGGCTATAGACCCAGGACCCAAGCTACAGAACGTGGACCAAGGCCATGCAGCGGCTGCAGAGCGTGGACAGGTCCGGTGCAGGACTGAAGCACTCCCAGGCGGGTCGGGCAGGGCAGTCCGCAGGTGTAGATGGAGGAGCCCAGGTCCAGAGGTCCCGTCATCGTACCATGAAACAGACAATGGGACAACGGGTGAATAACAATGAACAAACTACAGTCAAAATCCGTATAATGCAGATAAACAATCATTATCTGGAAAAAACCTTTGGACATTTTCTTTCTTGACATTGTCTGCAGAGTTGTCATGGCACCTGCCTTGGACTGAAATATAACACTGGATAGAAATGAGCATACATCCTCACATAGTTATATTAATTTCTACCCAAATCCCCAATTAATCTCCATATAGTGTTAGCTGATGTTGGAGCAGGCAGCAGGAGCTCTGGCTGCTCTTGCTCAGGTCAGATTAGGTCTCTCATGCTAACGCAGCAGATGCCCACAGCCTTGACACAAACCCCAGTGTGTTTGGTGCCCATATGTGAAGGAGACTGGTCCTGATAACAGCTGTTCTAGGCCCAGGCCCAGCGCTAAACATAAACTGCAGCGGGATTGTCAAAACTATGCAACAGAAAAGCAGTCAATCAAAAGAACATATCATTTTGACTCAGTTTATCTGTGTTTTTTTCATTTTTTCTTAATGAGGTTGGTTAGAACGAGTTTTCTTGCAGTGGCTTGAGTCTACAAAAAGAAGGCAAGGTAAGTTTTTTTGTATAGAAAGATAGATAGATAGATCCCCCGTAGGAGAAATTCAGGAACAAGCAACTCAAATTAAGTACTGAACAAAAAATGTTGCTAGATTTACAACTATGCAAGATTTACATGATCCTTAAAGCTGAGGTCACTGACATACTCTTTCTAGTAAGTCTCGTAAAATAAATTAGGCTATAACAAAACCAGAAAGAGCCGTATGAGATACTGATTGACGCATTGGACTGAGAGAGGATTGATAAAAGAGTTTGCATGTTCTCCCTGTGCTTGCGTAGGTTCCCTCCGGGTACTCCGGTTTCCTCCAGGTACTCCGGTTTCCTCCAGGTACTCCGGTTTCCCCTACCACTAAAAACATGCTCACTAGGTAAAATCCTCCAGCTCTGGTCCTGACCAAGCCGAGCATCAACATCTGGAGATGGGTTCCCGGGCGCTGTTACGGCATCAGGATGGGTCAAATGCAGAGGATTAATTGCCCTACGCCTACGGGGATCAATAACTTACTATGGATAAACTTGAGAAAATGTATCTAGTCTTACTTTTACTTCTTGTTTGCATCATGAGCCAAAGCTAGTTACTGATGAGGGCAATACAGTTTTCTTTCAATTCTTTTCATCAAACAGCACAATAATAAACTATAGTTGTTGTTTTAACCTGATGTTGAACAGATTTATGCAAAATGAGGTTCACAATTCAATGTCATGCGATCTGGATTATTTATAAAGTTGTTATTACATTCTAGGTGTAAAGTATGTCTGGAATCCAATCTTACATTTCGCCAAAGGTTTAAACAAACGCAAAACAAAACGTCTCTCGCCCACACATTTTATAAATTCCTCTCAGGAACAAATGTCTTTGTGCTCAACGTTTATTTCCTCGAGCTATAACTGGTTCATCAATCCTGAAATGTTTTGTATTATTATCTTATTCTTAAATCCTTTTCTTATCACTTTGTGCCTATGGGGAGAAATTGGTTCATCTTATTCTTAAAGCCCTCTTTTTGTAGAAACACACACACGAAACACACACACACACACACATACACGTTTTTGTTACCTGATGGGTCCCTTTGACAGGGCCGTTCAGAATGGGACCCATAGACATAATCTTTTTTTACTGGGACTACTTTAAGTAATACAAAACAGTCAATAGAAACCAAACAACTATTTTAAAGGAATTTTATTTTAGATTTTTTTTTCGAATTGCAGTGATTCTATTTTTGACATAGAATTTAATG